GCTTCCAAGTCTGTTATATCCACCACAATGATGATTGTTTTGTTTCCTCTCCAGGTCTATAACTCACACCATGCCTGCACCCTTTTCTATTGGATGCTGTACCTTAACATAAACAGCCATAATCACTTCTGTGAAAAGTGGCTCTACTCCAGTCTGCATGTTGAAGTTGCCCGTGATGCAACCGTGTGAGGGTGTGTGAAAATGTTAGACAATGTTCTTAGGAATAGAAAAAAACAACCAAACAACAAAAAATTGCACGAATATTTGTGTTAAAGGTTAATGAGGCTCGCAATACAAAGCGGATCTGCATGTGGATGGTCCATTTACCATCCACGTGCACTCCCAAGAATTGTAATTTTATAGCCCATCTCACATGTGATAAGTTCATTTACATGAATCACAGTGTCTAAATGTGGCTTAATTAGGTTTGCTTGAAGGCAAAATACCTGGCTAATCTTTAAATACACCTCTTAATTGTCGCTTTAAAGCCTGAACCACTAAATAATTACCAAAAGTACAACTTTTTGTGTTTTGTGAAATCTCTTACAACATCCCCCCCCCACACGCACACAAATACATTAAATATTAACATTAAATATTAACTCATATATTTGCATATATGAGTTTAAAGTTGTATCATATTTGAAACATAGGGCTTTATTGTAATTTATTCCTTAAATGTCTCACAAACCCACAAAAACTCATTTATCTAATATGTTAAACGTGGCTTCAAAGGGTTAAATTGCTGCCTGTTTTCAAACTCATTGCATTCAGTTTAAAAATGTTAATCAAATTCTATAATCATGATTTATACTCCTGTCTCTTGCTTCTCTCTCATACTTCATGTAATGCAATATTGCAGCTTCTCTGGGCCAGTGTTTATTTTCTAAAACTGCCTCTTGCATCATCTACCACAACTGATGTGTGATCTTGTGGTTTGGCCTCTAGTGCCAATAGCACATCTATTTAATTTAAGGACCCTACTATATTAAATAGAAAATGGCCAACAATCACACGATCCCTTGTGAGCAAGTGTTTAGCAGTGGTGGAAAGGAAAAACTCAGTTTTAACAGGAAGAAATCTTCAGCTGAACAAAGCTCAGGAACAGGCTGAAGTCTGGCATTAGGGGAAAGAGGTTAAAGAAAAGCAACATCAGAGGGGGACAAGGACAAAAAAAGCTAAGAGAGAGAGAAGACAAAGTCGAATGACATGTCGTAGTGGTATATAAACACCTGAAGAGTGAAATAGCATTTCTTCTCCACTCACCCTAAGTACACCATAGGAAGTCCCCCTTGCAGCCTTTTTAGGTGATGGTTCAGGCTCACCCCGATCCAGATCTAACTATAAGCTTTATCGAAAAGAAAAGTTTTGAGTTTAATCTTAACACTAGAAAGGCTGTTTGTCTCCTAAACCCAAAATGAAAGCTGGTTCCACAGGAGAGGGGCATGATGGCTGAAGTCTCTGCCTCCCATTCTACTTTAGCAAGCCTGCAGTCTGTGAGCAAAGAACTCTGTTTGGATAATGTGGTACCACGGGGTCTTTAAGATATGATGGGGCCTGATTACTCAAGTATTTGTATGTGAGGAGGAGGATTTTCAGTTGGAGATTTGACAGAGTCAATGAAGAGAAGCAGGGATGTAGAAAGGAAATAAAACCTCCCTTTCTAGCCCCTGTCAATACTTTCACAGCAGTGTTTGGAGTTACCTGGGGTTTTTTGTGGAACTTTTAGAACAGCTTGATATTAAGGAACTGCTATAGTCCAGCCTAGAAGTAATAAATGCATTAACTAGCATTTCAGCAGTCTTAAATATTTGTTTAATGTCTACACCGAAGGAAATATCCTGTTCAAAAAGGTCTCCAAGATTCCTCACAGGAATCTCGCTGGAAGCCAAGGTAAAGCCATCCAAGCTAAGCATCAGATTAAACACCATGTTTCTGAGATTTTTGGGGTCAAATATGATAACCTCAGTTCTCTCTGAATTCAGGAGGAAACAGTTCTCCCATAAATGAAGGGCTAATTGTGTCCTGTAACTTTACTCAAAGAATCTGGTTGGGGCATTTTTCCTTCTGGTCGCGGTTTTTGCATTTCCACAGCTCTTGCTTCATCCTGCGTGTATTTATGCTTAGTTAAAATTATAGTGTCTCAGTTCCTGAATGGCTGCCTCAATTTTTGAGAATTTAAATTCTTCACAGTAACAGCTTCTGTTCTGTTACAGCTAATGTATATCATCTACTAAACACAGTAGATGTTAACTTTTACTTCAACCCCTGGGCTCTGGATTTGCAGAAGACAGGAATGTTAGCATTTAGCATCATTTCCACATTCACTACATTTCCCCTTTGATCTTTCAGCTAGAGGGAGGTTTAAGGCCTTGTCACTTTTATCTTTAAACTTGACAACAAATCTACCTTCCTCTTTAAACTTTATCATTTTTCCTAATTTCCCAAGAACCCCCCACTTTAACTACTATTCTCTGATCTGTCTCTTTTATGTTGTTTTACTAGACTTTTTTTTTAATACAGCCACCCTTTCCCTCTTTGCTGGAAAGGCCAAAAGAGCTTCTATTAAACAACTTTTAGATGTTACCATATCAGCCAGTGTCTTGTACAAAGACACTAAATATCCAAAGCAACTTCTGCCTTCACATCTCTGACCTCTTTAACTTCAGCCTTCTTTCCCTTCCTTTGTTTTTGTGCCCACACGCTCTTCCTGAATTCTTTCCTCTTGTGCCTCTTTTCCAGTCAGCTCCACTTGTTTTGATAGATGGTGTGACCCATGTTATTTTATTAGTTTATATGTCATTTTCCGAGTCCTTCCTGTGTAATTCCTTGTCTCTGCAATGTGTTACATACCCATAAGTCTGCTAGGGTCCAACTGGACCAGAAAAATGTTAAGCTTATCAGATGTTGATGGTAAAGTCTCATCTACAGAGCCTTTACATAATAATGTACTAAATACAAATGCACGCTTCAGGTAGGTGAAAGCACTGTTACAAGAATGACGCCTTGGCTGTTGTTTCTACAGCTGTGTGTTTCAGCGTCTGCAGCAGGGTTTAATCACCGCTTTCCTTTTAGACCACCTTCTGGATAATCCCTTTGTTTTCTTGTTTTAATTTTTCTCAGACTTTACGTGGGCTTACCTGTTATATCTTTTGACTTCTTTTAAAGTTCTGAATGTGTGACCTGCTCGCTCATAGAAAAGACCAAAGCCAAACTCAAAAACAGAATTTGAATGAGCCGATGTAAATTCATAAGCCCACTGGAATGTGAAGCTAAAGAGGCTTGTGATTTTTCACTCCTTTTTAAGAAAGAGAAACCTAATGCATCTTTAATACAGTTGTTCATTGAAATGGGACCAAGTAATTGAATATGGCGAAGGTTAATCTGCTGTATTTTCACATATAAAGACAAGTAATGGTTCTGCCTGCTTAGAACATATTAGAGCTGCTGAGTGGAATAAACCGGGAAAGATGACTGACAATAAAACAGACAACTGTGCTGCTGCCCTGTAATTTCTAATATTCAGAGGCGCTAATGGACACTGAGACTGGCTCTGCTTTCTTTCTTTTGCCAGTACATGGGGATGCATTCAATGACCTGATGCAGTAACACTGTCTACCGTAGTAGACAGGGTTCCATCTAGTTCAAGCCACAAATATATTGATCTTTTTTCCAAAGAAGATAGGGCACTTGCTAACCACAGCAACATCCCTGCAAAAGCTCCACTTTGGTGATGTTTCCATGTGGAAAATCACTCTTGTTACAATATTGCCAGGATTAAAGGGCGCAAAGGTGGTGGCAGGTTTACCTCGGTCATTTGGTTGATAACAATATTGTATTTTGGTTCAATGAAGCTCCTTAAAAAAAAACCTGGTGAACAACATTTGCTTTGCCCATACTGCAGCTTCCAGGGCTTAAAAATGAAGCTAATACTGAAGTGCCAAAAACTGCCGCTCCTCCAATGGCTACTTTATGAATGGGTCCAAAAGCGAGTCACTACCTGTAGACCCCCATGTTAAAATGCCCATTCCACAGCTTTGTACAAAATGTGGCTTTGTTTTCAAAGAATCATTTACTCAAAAAGCAACAACTATAAATGGCTGTTTTGTTCTTTTTCTTCTTTCAAATTTACCTTTTCATTTGTCCATGTGGTACAAACCCTTAAAGAAGCTTTTTGATCCATTTCATGTGAGTGACATTTTAGTCTGCTAGTAGTAATTAGCAGGTTTATCTGTGGGTATGCATCTCCTGGGTATAATAATAATAATAATAATAATAATAATAATAATAATAATCCTTTTTTAAAATAACAGCCCAGATTTTTTTTTTTTTTTGAACTGAAATAAATAAGACTTATGTAATTTAGTTGGGTTTTTTTTCTTCTAAATTAGTGATTAGAAACCAGCTTTGTCCAGAAGTGCTAACATTCTGCATGCTGATTGGTCGGCTAAGGATTTACAGGTCACGCTCCTTTGACAGCAATAGTTTACCAATGATAACTAGATGTTGTAAGTGTAATTAAACCACGGCACCTAATTAGATTTGTGCATAGAAAGCTGCTGGCTGTGATGGTCAAAGGTGATTGCTATCAGGGGACTGTTGCTGGAAATTACCTGCTGATACTTGCAGGAAAACAAAATGGTGAATGGCATAAAACAGCTTGTGGCGCTGTGGATAATACTTGAAGAAAGCTATTTTATTGCGCTAGAAATCTTAAATAATAACAATTTAAAAACGAACTTTCACATTTTACTTACACGTTTTTGAGTGTTTTAGTCCAAACTGGTCATCAGCTAGCGTCTAATTAGGTCATCATCGGAGGCCTCACTCCCTTCATTCTAATTAAGGATAATTACACCAGAGGCAGCCGTCAAAACAAAAGCTACTGTTCCTTTAAATCTTCACTCCTTTCAAATGTTTTGGAGCGAGGGAGGGAAATACAGTGAAAAGGAGACGAAACCACATTGTCAAGGAAAAGGAGAGAGGAAAAAAGAGACCCACGCGTAAACCGACACTCCCCTTGAACACATGCACCAGCGCACTGACAGTCTGACCAGTGTCGTCCAGCCGCCTGAAGCACAGCGCCCGCTGTTTGCATGTGTTCACCCCCCCTTGGACTTGGTGGGAGGGGGGAGAAGTTTACCCAAAGACCAGCCTGGATCACTGAGAGAGACGATGCCTTTTTCCTCCACACCGGTCTCACGATTCTTCAGTGGATTTGCTGATTCCCACAATTAACCTTGCAAGTTATTCATCGGGAGTGGGGCGAGATTTCGAGCCAGAGGATGCTCCCACAGGTCATTCGGATACTGTATGTCTTGTCTTTCTGCTTTTTCCAAGGAGTCTTTATCAGGTGAGGGAGCAATCTGCTATTCTCTCAGTGTTTGTGCGAGTTATTTTCTCTCTCATCAACTGCTTCGCATAAACTTTTTTTTTTTAAAACCATTTTAATCGACGCTACTGGCTGTAAGACATCTGTCATTTGTTTACTTATTTAAAAGACTTTATTAGAAATTAACATCTAAACGTTTTAAATGCTGGTTGGAAGGGGGAATGGAAGACTGGTACATACCAGCAAGAAACCAATTAATTAATTAATTAATTAATTAAAAAAACTAGACCTGCTGTTTACACAGAACAAAAAGATGCCGCTAACTATGAAGTAACCACGGAGTCACTAAACCCTGTTTGCCCAGAGGTGTCAGACTACCTGTGGAATTCCCGGTTGCATTGAAAGGTTGAGTGATGGCTTTTGTGGGTCGTTTAAATCGCTACATTAATACTCCAGTGTAGGATAATCGTGGTCGTTGTGCTGAACAGTTTAACGGGAGCCAGTGATTACAAAGCTTGCTGGGGTTATAAAAACTAATAAAGCTGCTGCATACTGAACATTTGGATGCATGTTTGAAAATGGGAGCTGGGAGTGGAGTATATTGTTTCTGTGCTTAGTTTATTCACTACTGCAGGAAATATCATTCATTGTGGGTTCTAGAACACATTTTATTTCCACGCCATCATTCTTTCACTCAGTCCATCTAACAATAACCAAGCTCCTCTGTCTTCTTCTTTCCATGTCACCTTCCTCTCGTCCTCCCTCAACCTCTCTCCCTCCTCTTGGTGGCAAAAAGTTTTATTTGCAGTGAACACTTTTCTTATTTCATGCCCTGCCACCCTCAGGTGTGAGCGGAAGGGAATTAAGATCTGCATAATCCCAGAGCGGAACAGAGCAGTGACTCCGTGAACCCAGGGGCGAGGAGAGCAGCTCTTAGCCTGGAGAGCAGTCAACTGACAGCACCTCCTCTGACAAATTATATGCTCTCCTACCAGTCATTCTGCTAGCCACGTAGGGAGGGAGTGGGAGGGAGGCATGAAGGAAAAGGAAGGGATTAAGGTGTAAAAGACAGGCAGAATCAGATGGAGTCAATGGACATGTTGGGGGAATGATGGAAGATGAAAATGGGAATGGAGCAACCTGGGATGGGGAGAAATGGGAACAAGAAATTGAAAGAGTGATTCATTTAGCTGGAGGTGGTGTGAAGATTAGCAAAGTGGAGAATGAGGCTGGTAGATGGAGAGAAATGGTTCAGATAGGAGAAACGAGAAGGAGAAAGAGGGGGAGGTGTATGTTAGGTGGGAAGTGCTGTAAGAGATTTGGGGGGAAAAATGTCATGTGAAATAGTGCTCATCAAGCAGGATGGACATATGTTTTGGACTGGGTGTTTGTCAACAAGAGGAAATGCGAAACGGGAACGAAGGGTGTAATAACCAAGTTCTTATCATACTCTGAGGGTTGGGACATGGTTATGTGTTGACGTGTGTATGTAGAAAGAGGCGATGTTGTGTCTCTTTAACTTGAATGACAACCTGGAACAAAACCTGACACGTTCTCTTTTCCTGAAGCTTTTCTGCCATCCACTTCCTTTCTTTGTGTGGTATCCCAACAATTTCTGACCCTGCTAGAGGAAACTTAAAAATGCTAAGTTTTAATTGCAAAGTTGTTGATTTATGTTAATTTAAGCATCTTTAAAACTTGCACTCACAGAACTGAAACATGACAAACATAAAGATAAGCATGGTGCTTTGCTGCAAGTCGTATTTTAAGTCCGCAGCACTTAAACAACTAACTTATACATAACTTCTAAACTTTTGGCTTTTGGATATTTTCTTTTGCATTTTATCGCACTACTGCAAGAGAAACACCAGCTGGCTGGATTATATTAGCTGTTTCCCTTGCTATGGTTCGTGCTTGCTCACCGTTACAGTTTACTGGACACTTTAACAGAACAGTGCCACTGTAAATGTTCTTGCTAACACCTTATTGCCAACACCTTTTAAAATATTAGCTTTGAAAAATATTGTGTGCATTTGCAGAACAGGGTTTCCTGAACTTGATTTAAAATAACTGTTTAAATAAAGTAAAGCTGGATCAGAAAATGTGAAAACAGCTAAAGAAATTAGCTTTGGCTTAGTCATGAGTTTTTGTTTTAGTCATACTGCCTCTTTTTTTTTTTTTTTTAGAACGCACATTATAATGGGGAGCTATGAAAGTGGACCAATTATGTTTTCATTTTTTTCTGTTATAGTCTTAAAGTTGATAATATTCACTTAAACACGGCCAAGTGTCAGATAAAATTGAAGCAATCCACGTGAGCCTAAAGCTCAGGCTTCACTTTTTGTTTTTCTCTATTAATGACTCTATATGATTTTCATAAGAGTGATTGTCTCTAATAAGGTACTCCAGGCACACAGGTCTGCTGCGAGTATGGAAGCCACACCCAACTGCTGTTCAAACTTCCTGTTTATAAGCGGCATCCTATCAGAAGTAAGTTAGGTCAAAGAGAGGCTGGCCTTGAAAGCAAAGGAGCCAAAATGGCTTGTTTCAGACAGCAGATGAATTGAGAGGCTGCAACATGGCTCAGCATGAGGTTTAAAAAAAAAACTGAGTTATGCGAAGCTACTCTAGCCAAATCCAAGAATTAAAAAAATAATAATTAGCTGCAAATTAGCAAAAGAGGTCCACATTACAACAGAACTTCTGCCACCGTCACCTCTGACTAACACCATTTGATGTGTTGTCTGAATGGGACTTTCCACATGGTAGAACTTGAATTTTTCTCTTTGGGGTGTTCAGTGAAAAACGAGTTGGTTGTTGATACTGTAATAAAAAAAATAGCCAAACTATCACACATGAAGTCTTCACCATGTGAACATCACATCAGAGGAAATTGTGCAAATATGTCCCTGATCTCTGGTCATCTGACATGTGTACTGGGAAATTGCAAGAGAAGAGTAGTGGATTGCATGAAGTGAAGGGCAGAGGATTGCACACCAAGGATCTCTGCTGTCCTTGCCTGCAGTCAGCTAGAGATCATGAGTCAGAGCTTAAAAAATATCAGAGAGTAAGTCTTATCAGATGGAGCTGGGCACTTGCGAGCCTGATTAGAGTGTGAGTGAGTGTGTGTGCACGCACAGGCAGGCATACGTGAGAGCATGGTAGTTCAAGAGGAGGCATGGGATCTTTCCCTCTTAACTGTAATGCATTAATTGGAGTAGATAAAGACTTAACATGACCCCAAACCTCAACTTGAGAAAATAGGTCAGCCATAAACATTAAACGTTATATGAGTGACATATTTGGAGATAAACATGATCAAAAATTCTGCAACCCAGTTAGAGACATAAAAGAAGTTATTTTTACTTTTTAGATTCTTCACTGCATTGCTGGTACGTTCGGTTTCTCATATTTAGTTTATAAATTGAGGAGTAGTTTTAATGCAGTGTCACTGCATTTGCAAGGAAAATCTAACTTAAAATTTTGAACGCTTTAAAAAAAGATTTGTGTCTCAGTGACTAACTGGCCTAATTAAAACATTGTATTGAAATGATGTGTACACCACTGAGATACTTCTAGTGTTACTGCAGTTATAATAACAGAATAAGTCTGAACTAGGAGTGATGTCACTGTAGAGTTGAGCATGTTCCAGTAGTGAAGTTGGAAAATCGAGAAAAAACAGGATTTGTTTTGCTCCTTAGCAAGGTTTATGTTCACTGCCGCCATCTTGGATTGTTAATCTGGGGTTGGCCAGGCAGCTCCGAATTTCAGATTTGGAAATCCGACTTGAGGGGACGTTCCAGTTGGAAATTCTGACTTCTACCTTAAACTGGAATGTGCTTTAGCTGAATACATCTACTGGAAGATATTGACCAGCTTAGGATTGTCCTTCAAATATTTGTGATGGGGGAAGTGACTGGAAAAGGGTTACTGTGTGGAGGTAAGCATGGACGACACAGAGCTCTCAGTTCTCACTACTCCTTTATTCCTCTCCAACATCAACTGAACACATCACGCCACAAAACACAGCAACACACTTCCTCAACACGGGTGTGAGTGGAGCCCTCTAGTGATCCACCACACATGCCCCCCCCCGAACACCCAGCAGAACTAGTCCAGGACCCGGGGTTTAAGCAAACAGCCGGAACGGCTGAACCAGGGGGGTGGGGAACTGACAGAGGAAGACCCAGCTCGGGAGCGAGGCTGGCACTGGCGGTCAGAAAAAGCTGCAGATAACTCGGGCTCCGTTGATTGTGGGACGCTCCTGGGGGAAAAAACAGAACCCATCAGCCCGGTGGCAGGTGGGTGGCTGCGGCAAGTGGCCTGGGCCGGGACCACTTGATCATCTTGCATAACATGTGCAGGCTTAAGTCTGTCAACAGAGACAACCTCCTGCCGACCACCAAAGTCCAAAATGAAATGTTTTTCGCCCTGTTTAAGAACCCTGTATGGCCCGTCATATGGTGGATGGAGGTAATGTCAGCATGGGGACCGAAACGCGAAACCCACGTTGACAAAAATACTCTGGCCACTGTCACCGCTGTCGTGGATGCCAGGGGTACCGCCTCCGGCCACCTGGTCGTGCAGTCCACCACAGTCAAAAGGTGCGTGAAACCCTGTGACTGCGGCAAGGGACCAACCAGGTCCACATGAACGTAATCGAAACGCCTACCGGGGATGCGGAAAGGTTCGAGGGGTGCCTGCGTATGCCTGTGGATTTTCGAGCGTTGGCATGGGATACAAGCCCAGTCTTTCACCGTTTTGAGAAGGCCCGGCCAAACGAACCTGGCCCTGACCAGCTTGACCGAGGCCCGGACGCCGGGATGAGAGAGGGCATGCACCGAGTCAAAAACATAACGATGCCATGAAAGGGGAACCACCGGGCGGGGGCGGCCGGTGGAAACATCGCAAAGCAGGTGCGGACCGCCGTCCCACACAGGGGTGTCCTCCAGCATAAGGTCCGTTTTCGTTGACTGAAGGGCAAGGACGTCCGGGTCAGCACGTTGCCCAGCGGCCATGGC